AAACACTTACAAACCAATAATCTATCGGCCTTTTTCCATTTCCATTTTGGGTGCGTATGGCGTCTTCCAACTCTAATACATATCATAAAAAAAATTAATATGAAAGTTAGCATATAACCAATGTTTTGTTATTAGATAATAAAATGAATTTGTTTGCTACCTTTAGCTATGTCATCATCTTTAAGAATATCATCGATGTTGTCAACAATTGGCTTCTTTAATTTCCTCACCCAATCTTGGGTGCAAACCAAAGCCTCTATTATAGGTGCGGACAAGTTTGTTCGGTAACTATCAATTATGCGACCGCTTGTACTAAAAGCGGACTCGGAAGCCACGGTAGATATTTGAATGCCCAAAAGATCTAATAACATAAACATATAATGTTAAATTATACTACATTATAATAAAAAAATATAAGTAATTAAAATTATACCTTTTGCCATCCGCGAGAGAATTGGGTAACAAGATGCGTTATTTTTCCACCAAACCAATATATCAAAGTCCTTAACGCCTTGGGTTTGTCCTTCGTTCAAGTATCGTGTTAATTTCGTTTCCTTTGAAGCCGATGAATTCACCGATTGAGCAAAATAGTCACCCACAAAGTCGTCATCATCATCAATATGCACAGCATCTTGACTACCACCGGTTTCAAATGGTACATTAGAGTTGGTATTGTAACAATTAAAAAAAGTTCTCAAATCTCGATTCAATATCCTTGATTAAAGACTTAGTCTTCGCAGTAATATCTAATTCGGAAAGGGGTTTATTTTCCAGCATCTTGTACTTGATCAATGTTTCAAAAGCATGTCTAAGAAATTTTGTCTTCATTCGCGGATCCAAGATAGTCGCAAAGTACATGTAGTCATTCAAATTTTCAAAATCTCCCCAATACTTCTCATATTTGTCTATCATATCCTTCCCAATTGAATAAAATCGTTTGTTTTTTTACCAAACCCGTATATGTTTGTAAATGCCACATACTTCTCCAAAAAACCGATTTGCCAATGGTTTTGAAGTCGTCGACACCAATTCTGTTTTCACCTTGAACTTCTCAAGAAAGGAGACCATTGCTCGACAAGTTACAAAATCTTCACTCACGGGGGTTACCACATCTCGTGCAAAGGAACGATCTATCAAAAAGATGTTACAAAAAAAAAATTAATATATCATTTTGGAGGGCTGTAACTTACTCAAAACACATGCAAATTAGGTGTTTCCAAAGTCTATAACTATTGCCAAACAATGAATTATAATTTTAAAAAAAAAAATCAGCCCAAACGGACTCATAACGAAGTAGATATGACAGTTTAAAGTTAACGAAAAATTCTAAAATAATGTTGTTAACATATTCAAAACAGCTTTGATATATCATTTTTGGAGGGCTGTAACTTACTCAAAACACATGCAAATTAGGTGTTTCCAAAGTCTATAACTATTGCCAAACAATGAACTATAATTTAAAAAAAAATCAGCCCAAACGGACTCATAACGAAGTAGATATGACAGTTTAAAGTTAACGAAAAATTCTAAAATAATGTTGTTAACATATTCAAAACAGCTTTGATATATCATTTTTGGAGGGCTGTAACTTACTCAAAACACATGCAAATTAGGTGTTTCCAAAGTCTATAACTATTGCCAAACAATGAACTATAATTTAAAAAAAAATCAGCCCAAACGGACTCATAACGAAGTAGATATGACAGTTTAAAGTTAACGAAAAATTCTAAAATAATGTTGTTAACATATTCAAAACAGCTTTGATATATCATTTTTGGAGGGCTGTAACTTACTCAAAACACATGCAAATTAGGTGTTTCCAAAGTCTATAACTATTGCCAAACAATGAACTATAATTTAAAAAAAATCAGCCCAAACGGACTCATAACGAAGTAGATATGACAGTTTAAAGTTAACGAAAAATTCTAAAATAATGTTGTTAACATATTCAAAACAGCTTTGATATATCATTTTTGGAGGGCTGTAACTTACTCAAAACACATGCAAATTAGGTGTTTCCAAAGTCTATAACTATTGCCAAACAATGAACTATAATTTTTAAAAAAATCAGCCCAAACGGACTCATAACGAAGTATATATGACAGTTTAAATAGAGCTAAAAATTCAGCAAGAATGCAGAAGAAAAAAAAAAAAAAAAAAAAAAAGTACCTTCCATTTCATACTCATAGAAAGCTTTTTCTAAATCCACCGCGATCTTCAATAAGTCGTAAGTTGAGTTCCAACGAGTGGGACAATCGTTGCACAAAAATTTGGTTGATTCCACCCCGACGATTTTCATGCACTTTTTAAATAGAGCAATCCGTTGTGTGGACTTTCTAATATATATCTTACGGCGTCTTGCAAACATTTAACACTCTCGTCATTTTTATTCATCTCGTCTCTCACAATTAGATTGATAATGTGTGCCATACACCTCATGTGAAAGTGTTTTCCTTCATTGTACAAGTTTGGTAATTTGTTTTTTAGAAACTCTATTGCTTTGTCATTAGAACTTGCATTATCAACCGTACAAGTCATGACATTTTTAATACCCCACCCTTGAATACATTTCAACACTTCTTTTCCGATATCTTCCCCCCGTTGACTCTAATTCTTTAAAGTTGATTATCCTTTTGTGCATCTCCCAATTATCATCAATAAAGTGTGCGGTAATGACAATATAATGCACCCTTTTACTCGGACTTGTCCAACAATCGGTGGTTAAATGAACCGTGTTAAGTGGATTACATAAGAATGTTACCAACTTATTTCTTTCTTCTTGATAATAAAGTGACACTTTTTTTGAAATTGTTGTTCGACAAGGTACAACCACCTTCCCGTTTAGTGCGTTTGTGTATTCAATAAAGGCCTCATTTTCTACAAATTTAAAAGGTAGACCACCCACTACAAACAAATTCAACATAGCCTTTTTAATTCGTTTGTCATCATGTTTTCAAGTCCTAACACTACCCTCCCCGGTTGGTTCTTTTTTAAATTGTAATGTTTGTTGGTTTTTCAAATTCTCGGGGTTTTGTTTACAATTCTTTGCATGCTTATTTAAGCTAGACGTACCGGTATTATTCCCGTCGGCTTTGAGAACCCTCTCGCACCATTTGCACTTTCCATGCCGAACTCCATCAATAAAAATCTTCTCAAATGATTTCCTACAATCGGACCTTGTTTTCCCTACTCTTTTTCTCTTTTGTGTTGGTTCCTCATTGATTTCTTGTTGAGTGTTGTCAACAAACACCTCGTCATCATCAAACTACAATAAATAACAATAAAAACACAATTAAAATACAATAACACAACTTAATAACAATAACACAAAAAGTAACAGTGATCAATTTATGAATATATTTATTTATGATTGTTTATGGATGTGTTAGTCAAAAAGATATGGAGAGGCTTCACTTGGCAAACGTGAACACGATTTTGAAGACACCTCACATACCACTAAAAATTCAAACTACTTGAATAGACACATTGACCATCTGCACTTTGTGTAATAATATATTTGAGTGCCTAATTATTTTAATTATGCAAATAAACATAAAACAAAATCGATTTTTTAAACTTAAAAAAACATTCTACATATTATTTTAAAGGTTGCTGCTTTGTAATTAGTAACGTGAATAACTCATTCAAACAACATATCATATCAGGTGAGATACTTTAACCATCGATAAATATCTAAATATAAATTTCTTATTTATGCAGTATGTATTATAATTTGACAACTTACTTGTGTAGCTTCATTGTTATCTACCCAATTGTCCACCATTGGTCTTTAATTGATTGTAGGAGACTGATTTGAACTTCAATTGGGAATGATTGTAGGAAATTGACTTGATGATTGTCGACTTGAACGATGAACCGAGGATTAGTATCGGCGTTTTTCGACTAAGGCTTGGGCTTCTTTATCAGCGCAAATCGAGTGAGCAACTGAATGATGAAGTGTCGCTGCAAATCGATTGAAGAACTAGATGAAAATCGTCGACTTGATTTGATGATATTCTGACTTCTGTGATCGATGGACTTTTTTTTTTAATTTTCTTCCAGATCGACGAACATTGAGGGCACGGGAAAAAAACTAATCGCATTCCGATTCCACATCTATACCGGTTCTACATCTTAATTGGTTCTTTGGCCCACTAAACCCGGACCCGGTCCATTTAACCCGGTTCCGGATTTTTTTAACAAATCCGGTTAAAAAACCCGGATTAACCGGACCCGTTAGACTCATACCCGAAATACCCGAAACCCGGATAAGAGTAATTTTGAAACCCAATACCAGCACCGTTTAAACATTTTCCGGTTATACCGGTCCCGGTTCCAGTCCGGTTTTTCGGTTCCAAAACTCATCCCTAGTTAGAAGTGTAGTGCCCGTTTTTTGGATAAGTTATTTTAGGCAATGTTATAAAAATAAGAAAATGGTGTTAGGCGGGGAAGTGAAAATCACGGCTCGTCTATGGAAAAGTGATTGTTTTGTCGGACATGGTGCATCATCCATTAGACATGGAATAAATTATTATCAATCATCAACTTCAAAAACATTAAGACCTTAAATTGCCTAAGATAAAGAGAAAGGGAAAAACGGGTCCCCTTACAGGACACCTTTAGAAATACCAAACTATCCATGGATAAGAATCAAAAAACCCTACCGGAAATAAGTGTACGTGAATCCATCTTCTCCACTTACTACAAAAGACAAAGTCAAGAAACTCCCACAACTAGGAATCAAATGCATTTTCCAAATCGATTTTATACAACATCAAACTTACTTCATTTATAATAAAAAGGTCGCAAGGATATTCATAGACCGTGGAGTCGGTATTATGTTTAGGCCACCCCTTTTAAGATTTTGGCCCAAGAACATATACCAAACTTGAAGATTCACTAATATACTAACCAAGTTTGACGAAATTAATGAATATTACAAGCTACAAAATATATTCACCTGACCAGAACGGGTGAGATAAATGTTAAAAAATATGGTTATTCTTTTATATCAAAACCCTCCCTACCTACCCTTTTGATGATTTTTTTTATTAGGCCGCCATTAATATAAGCAAACAAGGGTGTTTTACTATAAAGTGCATTGGAAACAAAAGGAATTAACAAACTAAGATAAAATTATACACGTTCTCCAAAAAAATTACATAATATATATATACAAAATACATAAGATATAAAAATACACCTACACCAATCCCTTTTTTCTCTTGTGTGTATGAATGTAGAACAAATCTTTTTATTATCGCCACCATCAAAATTCAAAATTGCAACTTCTTCACCAGTTGGCATAAAGTCAACGCAAAAAAAAGTCAATGTTGAAGGACATGAGAAGTCCAAAGTGGTTGTTAATGTTCACCAGTTGTTGAGCTGAGAAGTAATGCTTTTTACAATGGGATGATATTGTGTGTGTATGTGTTGCTTTGCTTTTTCTGAACCCGGATGTTCAAGCCATGACTCGTATAACCTCTTCACCATCATGTTTTCAAATGGATCCGCAACCAAAACCTAACATTCATTTTTCATTTTAATACATAAATATAAATTTAAGAGTAGATTACACAAATGGTACCTATGGTTTAGGGTAATTTGCACGTTTGGTCCGTAACTTATATTTTTAACTCGGAAGGTCCCTACTGTTTGTTTTTGTTACGTCCTGTCTTACCTAAAAATACTATTTTGCCCTTGATTTTTTAATTCATTTAAATAAACATACCTCCAACCCCATCCCCTCGGCTTACCTTACCTACCCCACCATTTTTCCGTATTTAAATAATTTCTTTTTATGTAAGACAGGGACCAAGAGCGTAACAAAAACAAATAGTAGGAACTTTCCGAGTTAAAAAAATAAGTTAGGGACCAAACGCGCAAACCATAGGGACCATTCGTGTAATTTACTCTAAATATAATATAAAACATAAATAATTAAATCAAAGTAAAAGAAAGAAAACAGGAATACTTACATTCTGCATGTATGTGGTCTCTAATGCTTGAATCAAGTCTTTGCCAGATTGTCCTGATTTTGGCTTCAGCTGCCCACCTCCATTTAAGCACCCTGATTTTTCAAAAATATAATAAGCTCATAAAAATCAAAAATAAAAATAAAAATTAAGATTTTTATACCTGAAGGGCATGCCATGATCTCCAAATAGTGATATTCACATTTTCCCATTTTAAGTTTCCTGACTACATTTTGCAAGTTTCGGAATCCATAACACAATGCAAACTTCAATACTGTTTTACCTTCTACCTACACATTCACATAAAAATAAAAATAAATAAATAAATAAATCCAAATAGTTTCATTTGATTACAACACAACAACATACTTGTAAGCTGACTTCCTGAAAGTCAGAATTTCTAATGGTTTTAAAATCCAAAGGGCCTTTGAGATCCTGATCAAAAAGTGTCTTTGCAGCATAACGAAAGATTGTATCTGCATATCCTCCTGAGCTTCCTCTAACCCCAAAAAGATTCTCTTCTTCACTCACATTTGATAACCTGTCAATCAAATAAATATTAATTTTTATTTCAACAAAATTTTAAATTTACCCAAATATGTACACTTACAATTTATCAACAGGGGATTCATCCAAATTCATGAAATCTACTGCTGCGTTTGTCTGCAAAAATAACAAAACTAGATTTATTTCTGTATTTTCGCCTCATATCAAAACTACCTATATTTGCCCTTGTCCATCATCATCATATGAAGGATATTTTAGGTATTTGATGAGTCATATTTTATTTTTAACTAGAGCGAAATTCATTGTTGAGTGTTTACCTGTATTAAATCTAAAACCTCTCCAGTTGTCAAAACGGAATCTACCTCTGTAGTCATTTCACCAGATTCATCATGAAAAACAAAATCATCTCTTGAAGCCTCCAGCTTTTTGTCATAACAAGGCATCACTGTCACATGATAAATCTCACTTGCCCTATACAATTAATGCACATAAACATCAAGTAACAACATAATACTCAATAATATAATTATTTCTTATTAAACCATTCTACTTAAAAATTTAATCTTGTAATTTCAAATTATTGCAAACTAATGACATACAATAAGAAAAGATGATCACCTAACGCCTAGCTTGTGGCATAGATGGTGCTTAATGATAGCTCCAATGGATTGTTGAGGACTCTTCACTGAAGAAATATATGGCAAAACATACGAACCAAGTGTTTTTTCAGCATAGCATATCCACCCTGAAAGTATACAACAAAAAAGGCTTAAATCTTAAAAAGAAAAAATAAATGTATAGAAAGAGATGAAAGTAGGATGCTATAATACACAACCTGGACATGCAGAGGATATCATGGGTAGAAACGATCTAGAAGATTCCTTATCATCTGAATTGCTTTGTTTATAACGTGATATGAATTCGTTACAAGATTCAATAAGAGACAAATCTCTACTACAACTTGTATCAAATACAGCTTTAACCCCCAAAGTTTTGAAAAGTGTGGTCAGTTTCTTGAAAACCTGAAAGCAAGCCATTCACAAACAGATACTGAATTTTCATTTAGAAAAAAAAAAAAAAAGCATTTTTGAGAAACCTATCTCTATCTCATTGCAGATTGATTCATAAAGAAAGTGGAAGGCTGATAATATAAAGGAATTTACCTGAAGTGGAGAAAGACCATAATGCACAGCAATGGAAGCCCTTGACTGAGGTGAAAGAGAGACAATAACAGTTTTGCCATTGTTTATATTGGATAGAAACTCATCCAAGCTTTGCTTCTCTAACATAACAGTCTCTGCAGAAGTAATACACCCACTGCATGATTACAAAAATGTTATTGTTAACAATTCAATTCATCAACACTTGATGTATAACAGCTTCTAGGAGTTAGTGATCAGGAAGTGCTACCTGCATGCTAAGCAATCCTTGAGTGATATTTTTACTGGATCTGTTTCAAGAGTCTCTTTAACAGGTGTTGTTTTTACCAGCTTCTGTTCAAGAAAAAAGCACTTGGTGAATAACAATAGTCATATGTGTAATAAACCCTACTTGATATTCCAGCAAAGAAGATGCAACTTGATATTCATGTCGAACCTAAACTTTTCAAATGCAAAATTGTTGTCAATTAAGTCAGAAGTTAAACACCTATACAATTCTATTTGTGATACTTTTTATAGACTGGTATAAAACAAGCTAGGGTTCAGAAAGTAGAGATGATAGAAACCTTTGGCTTATCAACGAGCCTAGCGGAACCGGACTTCATAGAAACAACACAGCCCTGTGACGGTGCGATGAAATCATTAAGGTCGCCGATCCTTAGTGTGGCCGAGAATTTCTCCGACATATTTTCGAGTCGATTTGTGATTTAGAGTCGAACTGTGCGTGATTTTGATGGTAGAAATTGAAAGGGAACGTTGCTTGTCTGGAAAATTAAGTTTCGTCCGGAATATATGGTAGAAAGGATTATACACGCGTGGGAGAAAAAGAGAGAGAGAGACAGATGGACATTGAACATATAAACCTGTGAACTTGAGGTTGAAATGAGTTGAAACTTGAGGTTGATGTACTTACTGAATCGAAATTCTAACACGGTATTCCTTCACACCAGCTGAGTAACAAAAATTAAAATGAAGATGATCAGTTGGTGTTTCTTGATGGATCAAATCAACAAAACTCAATATCTGTTCATAAAATAAAATAAAAAACAACATAAAATCGACTCTTGAATAAAAAACATACCTTGATTCGTGAGGGAGACAGATGGACATTGAACATATAAACCTGTGAACCAAAATCGATGTATCAACGTTTGAAAAAAGAAAAAAAATAATATTACAGAGCCCCGTTTGGCCCTGTTTCAGTTCAACCGAGTGTATGGCCATTTCGCAACCCCAATCTGCAAAATTACCCTAAAAGTGAAATTCAATAACTAAAAACTATCCCAAATGTCAAACTCAACAACAACGATCACAATAAAAGAAGGATTTTGGGTTAAAGAGTAATATATGGAATTAGGGATGGAAAACTTGAAATCTAGAGGGAAAAGAACTCAATACCTGTTAGATCGCTCGGTGTTGGCAACGGAGAGTGTCGATTGAAGCTTACTGATTGAACGATTGGCTGAACGAACGATCGGTAACGGGAACAAAACGATCGATTGAGCCTACTGATTGAACCTTCGATTGAACAGAACGATCGGCAACGGGAGCGATTGAAGCATCGATTGAATAAACGATGCCTCGTTTGAGAAGGGAGAGAGACGAGAAAAAGAGAGGCTATGGTGTCGGCGTGTTTTTTTTAGAATGAACCCTAAAAACGACTAAGGTAAGGAAATTAGGTATAAGTTCTATTGCCCTATTTTTTAAAACATAATTAACAAAATATAAAAATTTAATATCTATATATTTTTTAAGAAAAAGGCAGGTACCCGTTGGTACCGGTTCCGGTTAACCGCCGGTTCCGGGTACCCGGTATTGAAACCGGAACCGGCGGGTATCCAGCGGATATTGGTTTTGTAAAAATGAGAATTGGAACCGGAACCGCTTAAGGTGGTTCCTAGACTTTAGGAATCGGAACCGGAACCGCTTAAGGCGGTTCCGGTTCCAAAACCGGCAGTTCCGAGGCGGTTCCGGTTCCGAAGGCAGGTACCCGCTTCCGATGCTCATCCCTAATATTAGGTTCCTAATGTATTTTTTGTGTGTATTACACCATTAAGGTTGTTATAACCGTTTAGAAATAATCCTTTTACCGATTTCTTCCTGTTAAAATGATTATTTGTAAACGGTTAGAATAACCTTAATAGTGTAATACGCACAAAAAATACGTAGGGACCTAAAATGGACAAACAAGAAACTTTATTACCCTCCTAAGATTTTTAGTATTTATTATTTTGAATATATATTTTTAAGATTTTTAGTATTTATTTTTATATGTGTATTGTTGGTTTTGAGCATAACATCAATCCTATGGTGTTCATGCAACCCTAATTGCTTGGATCTAGTTTTTCTACTTTGAACATGCAATAAACTTCCAAGACTTGCAAACCCTAGATCTAGCATACTAGTAATCAAATTAACATAAGAATTAGGGTTTTGATCTTACCTTGATTGTTATGTAGTAATAACAATCAATTATTTGGCTTCAGAAAGCTTAGTGCCTCAAGTGTTGCACCTCTAATGGAATCACAAACACCACTAAGCAACTTGGATGAAGAGAGAAGAGAGGGGAGCACCAAAAAAACCGTCCAGAAACCCTAAGGGAATCATTCACCGCGTTTTTTGGGCTTAGGGGCTCCTTAAATAGGTAGACAATTAGGGTTATCAAACAAGGAAACCCTAATTTGACTGCTTAAGCCCTAAGCAGCCCATGAACCCCTTCTGGTACATTCCTTTGACGATTTCTAATGGGCTTCCCCATAAAATTCGTCAAACCTATTATTCCAAGGTGATCCATAGCCCAATTGCAATTATCTTATAATTACAATTCCAATCCTCTAAGTTTAATTAATCTCTTTTAGCCACATAATTAATTCTTAATCAATTATTGACTAATATTAATTAAACATTATGATTTCTCCTTTAATATATTATTCTTATAATATATTAATAAATCATCATTAAACATTTCTCTCCTCAATTCATCCTACATATTGCTATGGTAAAGGCAACCTAAAAGGACTATGCTCATAATCGGGTCAAGTACATACCAAAATAGTTATGGACTTAGATACTAATCCAACAGTCTCCCACTTGGATAAGTGTAATAACTATTTTGTATAACTTCAGAACCTGATCAGCAATTGTAGCTTTCAAAAGTCGTTGTCAACTCTGATCTTATCAGATACGTGTGTCCTTTAGATAAGGGATCGTATATTCCTCCATTCTCAAGATATCGTATAGACATAAGACATGAATTTTAATCATTCTCTCTATATTGTTTCCCGACTTCCGATTTATGACGACTGACAACAAACTACAATTGAACACATCAACTTAGTCTCGGCTTGGCCAAGCGCTTAGGTGGCATCACTAAATCATCGAGGGGCCCACAGATATCGCTTTTATCCCACTTTAGGTAAAAGGAATAGATAAAATTCGACTCAAATGCTCGCTTGTACCCACTCATCGAATCACACACAATAATAAGTTTTTATAACACCAAGTTACTGGTGTGTTTACTTATTATCAATGTGCAACCGACCAGCAAATAAAAACTCACACGTCTTGGTTTCAAGAATATACAATATTATCGTCTTACTAATCACCCGTGATAAATCCATGAAGTGATCCAAGTGAGCGTGGGTTTCATCCAATACTCTAATCTTATTAAAGCACTCATGAACTCTACAGCAAACTTGTGCTATGTCTAAACTCTTCATACAATCTACAAACTTTTCATGATAGTCTTGCTTCATACCTACTTCTAGAGTATGATCGACTGTGGAGGTTCGAATAAACCAGTTATTATGGAAGTCAAAACATGTAAACTGAAACACAACAATAATACTTAATCCTATATGGCCCCAAACTTGTGAGAGTAAATAAAACACTTCTATTTAAACACCATATTGATTACTCATTATTGATCGTTTACTGTTTCAGAAAATCAACTTATTACTCAAATTACAACAATAGATGTCTCATGCACAAAGCATGCACACTATGTTTCCTATGGTCCTTACTTTGTGAAATAGATCAATTGAAAAGCTTTTCCAATGATGCTCATTTCACAATTCCCAATCCTTATCATTAGTGTTAGAACACAAGGTTCTTGCCACTACTAGAATATGCTAGATTCTAACATTTTATGCAACGATCCTTTCGCAAAGTCATAGTACAAAAGTCACCAAGACTTGGCCAATGAAATTACAAAGTACTCTACCGGAAATTGTTACAAGACAATTCCATAGACGTGAAGTCTCACATTCGAATGGTAACTATTAATATAAGGGTTTTTCTGAATATAAAAATAATATAAGGGTTTTTCTGCATATACATGTATAATTGGTTGGACTTTTCTGCATACAGTAAAGAACAAAAGTTGGGCTTGATGATAAATCGGATGAACAGTATGTGTTCGACATAACGGGATTATAATGAACGAACTAAAATTAAGATGATAGAAAACAAATTTATTTTGTGATTTGATCAAAACAAAAATAATTGGATCAACCAACAGGGTTGAAACGAATTTGATCTAACGAGGCAAATCGATCAAAAATGAAAAACGTAAAGTATGAATCGAAATCATGGATGTTTTGGAATCCATTTGAGAATTTGAGATACCTTTTTGACGAATCGAGATCCACTTTCAACGAACGAATCAAATTTGGAAGATCTTGGTTCTTTTGTCGGAATGAGAAAATCTCCAAATCGAACATTGTACCACCCACCATGAGAGATGTACAACTCGTTCTTCGTGTTCTTCAACGATCCAAGAACATCTTCAAAAGAACCACCAACACATTTGAGTTTGGACTTCAAATTCAATGCAACCTTTGGAGATTGTTGCTTTGGAACCCAATTTTGCTTCACGGATTTTGACTTCACAACATATGACGATTTTTGTGAGTAAACCCGCTTATTCTTCTGATTCATCTTCTTCTTCTTTTTCTTTCTCATCTTTTTGCATCTTGAAGACTTGACTTCATGAACAAATCCACTTTTCACAACATCAACTTTGTGAATTTGAATCAAATCTTTTGGAGTTTGATACTTGTGAATTTCTTGAATCACCGGCTTCCGATAAGGAATCATTCCTTCAAACGAATCACAAGAACACAAAATATCATCGGTTTGAACTGCAATCGAGCAAAAAACTTTTTCATCTTGAAAATCAACTTGAACTCCTTTTTCTTGAACATCAATAACATCACATTAAACTCCATTGTCAAGAACTTCAACTACCTGAAGAGGACGAAGATCATTTGGGTCTTCAATAAGAGAAACATATTTCTTATCGAACAAATATTTTTCTTCTCCTCTCTTATCACTACTACGTGATATTATGGAACATGTAATATGTCACACCCCAAAACCAAGAATGGCGGAAATGTTCCAGGGCGGAGGACGTCATGTAAAGTATCACAACATAGTAAATGTAAATAAGCAAACAACATCATCCATTGCATTAAATATAAAATTTTAATACAAGCGTGTTCCGTACAGTTTTAGACACCAAAAATATAATGTAAATCAAAATAGTATGATGAGTCTTGAATGCGCTCCATCTTCTCAAAAGCTAGCATCGGTACCTGTCTACTGATGACCTGAGAATACAAGTTATTTTGAAAGAGTTTATCAGCATTAAGCTGGTGAATTCATAAGTATTTTAGTGTCGAGGTTTATTATCAAAACGTTTGAACCTGTCGCAAGTATGAGTTGTAAATGTATGTAAGTGTTTGTAAAAGTTTGAATCTCTCAGAAAAACCTATATTTTCTGTTAAAGTAGCCCTCTACCAAGGCTTAACTGTTTTGTATGCTCGTTTGATGTAAAAGTGTGTAATTTCCCAAGTGTAACTATCATTTAACAAAATATAGTTTGTACATTAAAGTTTAAGTGAGGTTATCACCAAAATGTAATGGGTAAATTATTGTAGTACGGTAGTTTTGTTTTATATGAACTACTGCTGTACTAACTACCTTAAACCGGGTTTATATTAAGGTATCGTGTGATAAATTGCACCATACTATCGACTGGTAACATCGACAACGTATAGTCGAAAAATAAGGTATGACGTTTGGCACCCGCAGACCTGTCGGTCCCACTGTAGCTAGCAGCGAGGTGTAGGATAGTCAATCCAGTATAGATCTATACGCAAACTCACGCTCTCCCTCCAAGAGACTCTGGCTACAACTCGGGTCATGTCAATTAAGACATGCTCCCATACAGTGGATCACAATTGTTAACGTATTCGTGTATATGCAATATAATGTTACTTGTTCTAGTATCGTTGTATATGTTCTCTTAGTAATAAGTATTGACTCCTGAATGAACTGACTCGTTGATCTAGAAATTGTAGTAGTATGATCCCGTGTTACCCCGATGGTAACTTACTAACGAGGTGCTGATAAGTATGAATATGGAAGTACTTTTATGTCAATACATGTATATATGATATATAACTAATATTGAAACGACCCTCGGATGGTCACCCGAAATTCCACCAGACCACATCCAAATCGAGGAAAAGGAAATAGGACAGGTGGCTTTCCTAAGCCCTTTAAACATTATTTATACACTATACATATATGGGCATGCAAATTTATAGGTAGTAAAACAAAGTTTACAATAAAGCATTTGATAAGTAAAAGAGTTTGTAAAACATTTTGAAGTAAAA